AGGCTGGCAGCCTGCGGCAAGTGCAGCCAGGCTGATGGCCGAGTGCTGTGATGTGCCGAGTGTGGGCATTCAGGGCCCTCCAAGCCTCATCGAATTAGACAAGCAAGTGGGGAACCCCTAAGAACTGTCTGTCTGAGGTGGGGGTAGGGTCCCTTTAAGCACGGAGCTCAGTTAGCCTCAGGCAGCAGCCCCACACACTAAGTCCTAACCTGATGCCCTGCCGGCACTGGTTCCGGCCAGACTTAACTTCAGTTCAGGGTCCACTCAATGTGGACGTGCTATTTCGAAATAGCAAAATGCTAATTCGAATTAGTTTTTAGGTCTAGATGCACTAGTTCGAATTAGCTTAGTTCGAATTAACTAATTCGAATTAAGTTAGTTCAAATTAGTGCTGTAGTGTAGACATATCCTAAGTTTTATAAAACACAAGATAAATAAATGTTATATAACCTAAATATGAATTTCATCATTATATTTCATTCAAACATTTAAAACCACTGCTATAGCAAATAAGTAATTCATTGCTTTAATGAAAAAAAGTAAAAAAGATTTTGAGCATATCAAATTTATTGTAAGCAATCTGTAATGCGTCCTCATTTACCTAGTTAACCTAACTGTTTTTCAAACTATTGCACAGCGATACATTACATGAGAGTTAGGAATGTAAGAGATTAACTTACCTGTCCTAATAACACTCAGAAAAACTTTGAAATAAAATTAACACACAACAAGTGAATCACCCTCACTTTCTTGAAGGTAATAAGTAGCCTAAAGTGGAGGATATACTGTAAGCACGAGGACTTTTCGTTAAGGATAGAATCTTATGGCAGCCTGAAGTAAATGAGGGTATGTCTACTCTGCAAAGTTAATTTGAAATAACAGCCGTTATTTTGAATTAAATTTAATAGCGTCTATACATTCATTAATTCGAAATTAATTCGAAATAGCGGAGAGCTTAATTCAAATTTGGTAAACCTCATTCTATGAGGAGTAATGCCAAATTCGAAATAGCTATTTCGAATTAAGTGCTGTGCCAATTCTTGGCATAACCAATAAAACTTACTCCTCATTCTATGAGGAGTAATGCCAAATTCGAAATAGCTATTTCGAATTAAGTGCTGTGCCAATTCTTGGCATAACCAATAAAACTTACTCCTCATTCTATGAGGAGTAATGCCAAATTCGAAATAGCTATTTCGAATTAAGTGCTGTGCCAATTCTTGGCATAACCAATAAAACTTACTCCTCATTCTATGAGGAGTAATGCCAAATTCGAAATAGCTATTTCGAATTAAGTGCTGTGCCAATTCTTGGCATAACCAATAAAACTTACTCCTCATTCTATGAGGAGTAATGCCAAATTCGAAATAGCTATTTCGAATTAAGTGCTGTGCCAATTCTTGGCATAACCAATAAAACTTACTCCTCATTCTATGAGGAGTAATGCCAAATTCGAAATAGCTATTTCGAATTAAGTGCTGTGCCAATTCTTGGCATAACCAATAAAACTTACTCCTCATTCTATGAGGAGTAATGCCAAATTCGAAATAGCTATTTCGAATTAAGTGCTGTGCCAATTCTTGGCATAACCAATAAAACTTACTCCTCATTCTATGAGGAGTAATGCCAAATTCGAAATAGCTATTTCGAATTAAGTGCTGTGCCAATTCTTGGCATAACCAATAAAACTTACTCCTCATTCTATGAGGAGTAATGCCAAATTCGAAATAGCTATTTTGACTGGATGGCTCTGAGGGCTCCTCAGGTTGGACACTCTCCCGCAGGGACTCCTAGATCCTGACAGCCCCTCGATGGACTTCCCGGATGGCAGCCTGCGGCAAGTGCCGCGGGGCTGATGGCACCAACCCCACAAGACACACCGGCCTGCCCAGGGGCAGCTCTGGCTCCATGTGGCCGAGTGCTGTGGTGTCCCGAGTGAGGGCACTCAGGGCACTCCAAGACAGGACTGCTTTGCTGACCCTCATCAAGGTAGACAAGCAAGCGGGGAACCCTGAGAACTGTCTGTCTGAGGTGGGGGTAGGGTCCCTTTAAGCACGGAGCTCAGTTAGCCTCAGGCAGCAGCCCCACACACTAAGTCCTAACCTGATGCCCTGCCGGCACTGGTTCCAGCCAGGCTTAACTTTGGTTCAGGGTCCACTCAGTGTGGATGTGCTATTTCGAAATAGCAAAACACTATTTCGAAATAGGTTTTTGTGTAGATGCGTTTTTTCAAATTAGCTTAAGTACTTATAATTTTTTTTAAAAAAGGGAGGTATTCTACAAATTTTGTGTTTAAAAAAGGAGTACTTTAGTTTAAAAAAGGTTGAGAAACACTGCTGTAGACCTTTAATCATTTTTGTTGCTCTTCTCTGTACCTTCTCCAGTTTCTCCACACCTTTCTTGAAATGTGGTTTTAGATGTCAAGATTCAAGGCCAACTTTGCCTTGAGCAGACTGCCTCTCCAGGTGTTCACAATCATAACATCCGAACATGTCTAAGACTTTTAGTTGAGAAAGCCATGTTAATCCCAAGTCTCTGCTATGACTGGGAGATGTGGTGGGTGACCTAAAGAAAACACCAGCATTTTCTTTGGAAAATCCGCAACAAAACACGAGAGGATCTATCACTTCGGTAGTGCCAGCGCCTTTAGAATTGAGGCTCTGATTATCCAGCACCAGCTGAGGTAGAGCAGGCACTGTGTGCACACATCTGATATATTTTTACCAAAATTCCTGCATGCCCAACCAGAAAGGACATTGTCTCAATGACTTAATTACCTGCATCCTGCTTCAAAGACCTTTTAAGACTTTACTTGAAAGAGAATCCTCTGAACTGTCATTCATGCTTAAATTCGACACTTTACATCTCGGTCTAAACAAAGACATTAATTATCTCACCCATTACAAAGATAGCCTCCCCAATTATCACCTCTAATATCATTGCTCAGAGACATTTACCTCCCCCGCTCATCCCCCTTCTGTTCTGAAATTTGATTTGTCCTTTTCACATGTGTTCATTTTTTTAATTGTATCCTTTGGTATATATGGTTGTGACTATTTTCTTCCACTATTTGATCTGAGGAAGTGGGTCTGGCCCACGAAAGCTCATCACCTAATAAACCATCTTGTTAGTCTTTAAAGTGCTACACAGTCCTGTTTTTTGTTTCAGCTACACCAGACTGACATGGCTGCATTTCTATCACTACTATAAATCTAAGGCATCTTGCAGAGAGACCCTTGGCTTGCCTCTTGTCAACATGGGAACATCCATCTGGCTCCACCTCTCCCGCACCTAACTCACCTGGCCAGTGCAGTTGGGGGGGAGCAACTATTGGTAATAACAAGGTGTGTGTGTGTGTGTGTGTGTGTGTGTGTGTGTGTGTGTGCGCGCATGCGCTCGTGAGCACTGTATCACATGCATATAAGTATTGACGACTATATGTGTTTATTACTAATAAATGTGGCATTTTGCCTTTTCCCCCTGAAAAGATCCTGTGCAGTACTCAGGACAACACAACCACCCTTCACCAGAGCCAGGCACCTTCAGGCTGCGTCTACACTGGTATGATTTTGTGCAAATACTTTTAATAGAAGAGTTTTTCCGTTAAAAGTATTTGCACAAGAGAGCGTCTACACTGGCATGTGCCTTTGCGCAAAAGATTTGCTTTTGCGCAAAAGCATCCATGCCAGTGTAGTTGCACAAGAAATCCCCGATCGCCATTTTAGCCATCGTGGCTTTTTTCCGCAAAACAGTTCTTCCCTGTTTACACTCGTCCTCTTGCGCAAATATTCTTGGCTTTTTCCTGAGTGGCAGCATGAAAGTATTTGTGCAAGAAGCACTGATTTGGTACATTACAAAGTCAGTGCTCTTGTGCAAATTCAAGTGGCCAGTGTAGACAGCTGGCAAGTTTTTGCTCTAAAGCGGGCACTTTTGTGCAAAATCTTCATATTATACAGACAGAGTGCTTGAACAGTTTTTATAGTGGGAGCGCGGAGAGCCATTGAATCAAACACTGTATATAAGGAATCAACTTCAATCCAGGGTGTGCAGTATGACTCCTAACAAATCAAGTTGCAGCACCTATGCGCACAGGAAGATTATAATAAACAAATATCCCTGCATTTTTCAGAAAAGCAAAATATCCATGAGTTTCAAGGAAGAAAGTTTAGATATTTTTATAGAAAACTTGAGCAAATTCCTGATAAGGATCAGAACACTGGAACTTATCTAGCTACACAACTAGATGGCCATTCAGCTGCTCAAGTGTATATAAAAAGCACAAAATGTGGCATTTTTTCCATGCAAAGGGATTGTTTGTGAAATGCAAAATGAGCAGATAAAATTTGTCACTTTGTTAACTTCACTTACAAAGATGCTCTCTAAATTGGATTTTGCAATCTTCATGTGAGCCAGAAGTCATTAGAGCTCTATCACAGCTCCAATTTAACAGTTGGTAGTGCAAGTGGTAAATGTTACTATCACAATTAACTGGGCTTCAAAAAGGAATATTTTCAAAGAGAGGCTCCTATGTTACACTCCCAAAATGTTCAGAGACGAGTAAGTTAATCTTACTTTTAAAGGGGCCGCTCCTGCCGCCCAGCCGGCTGCCTCTGCTCACAGGGTGTTCAGGGCGGCAGCACGTAGGCCAGCTCCCAGCTAACTCTGCTGTAAGCATCAGGTGGGCCTGCACGGAGCGCGCGCCGGTCCCACCCCAGCCCAGTGCCCCCCTAGCATGGCGCTTGAGGCCAACTGCCCCCCTGCTTCCTCTTTGCTACGCCTCTGCTTGATTCCCTGTTCTGTTCACACCCTCTGGGGCACCTGGCATTGGCCACTGTGGGCAGACAGGACACTGAGCTAGAGGGGCCTTCGGTCTGACCCCGTCTGGCCGCTCTTATGATCTTAACCTTTTCCCCAGAAGGTGTCAGTCTAACGGTAACCCTTAATAGAAGTTGGTTTAAGCCCTGACGCAGGATGGCTTATGTCCTTTGCAGAACAGTTTTGCTCTAGCTATTACAGCTCTAAGATAAGTCTTGTGACCCATCCAATGGTCCAGCCCCTCTTTGAATCTTTGCAGGTTCCTGGCCTCCCCATTCTGTGGCAATGGGTTCCACAGCCTAATTGCACGCTGAGCCAAAAAGTTTCAGATTTGAATTTGACACCTGTCAGTTTCTCTCAATGCCCTTGTTCTTACGCCAGGAGGCCAGCAGTTCCCATTACAGTGTCTCAACGCCATTCAAAAGGCAACGCGTCCAAGCTAACAGCCGGAGACACACGTGTTACCTCTTTGTTGACAACCATGTTGCACATGCACTCTGTGGCTGCCTGGCGGAGCTGGTCGTGGTTCTCAAACATGTAGTTCTCGATGTCAGGCAGGGCTTTCTCTTTGATTATCTTCAGCCTGGATTGAGGGGAGCACAAAGATGCAATCACAGGGCTGTGCTTGCCAGACAGGGTCAGCCAGCAGGTGGAGGAGGCAGGGAAAGCCTTGAAAAACAAGCACTTCCAACTAAGCCATGCAGCATTTTCTCATCTGCTAATTTGAGGAGTCATCCCTACAGAGCCTTCCCTTCTTACAACAGGAATCATTTCCAGGTCATTCCACTAGCAGCCCTGCAGAAAGATTTCTCAGATGACCTATTCTTCTAGGGTAATAAAGAAGATGGGGTTACGAGTGTTTATTCAACAGTTCTGGGGAACAATGCAAGCAGGGGAAGGGTTTTCTACCCACCACTCACTTTTGGGATTCTTAAAGAGAAAGGGACTTTTTGGGGGAAATGAGTCGGGGTGGATGGAGCTACGGCAACTCTGGCTGGCTGAGGGGAAGGGCCAAGCACCACCGTCATGGCGGCCAACCCCACCGTCTCTGGGGATCCCCAGTCTTCTTCACCCTGATCCTGAAAGATGCCCCAGCCAGAGACGGGGAGCCAGATAACTCCAGCTCCTCAGGCCCCGGCTGAATCCCAACCACCAGCCAGGATGTGACACAGTCCCCCCCCCCAAATGTTTGTTGTCTTCCCCATCTAATTTCCTCTCTTCCCACCCCTCTCCTTTTGCCTTCTGCTTGATCGGAGTCTGGCTTGGCTGGCCCATGGCCAGAAAGAGGCAGCTAATAGCAACGCCTTAAACACCCCACTGCTGGTGCAGGCCTGCCAAGCCGTGGAGCTGCTGAGCAGACCAGTTTCTCTCCAGCTGCAAGGCTGTGAGTGAGTCAACACCAGGACAGAATTTTCTAGCTGTGTTCTCTCTCCTCTTCCCTTTGGGGTGTGTGTCCTGCTGTGTCTTACAGACAGCAGAGCCAGACCAACTGAACCAACATTTCCAGTCCCTTCTGTTTCCCCTGCAGAACAATTTACACCATCCCAGAGACTAGACACACAAGGGAGGGGAGGCAAGAACTAACTTAGCTCATCTGCCTTCTCTTACCAATTTACGGGGACCAGCACGGTCACAATGCTGCAAATGTCTTAGAGACGGTCAAGCACATTTTTCCTCTCCCTAAAGAATCTCTTCAGTGAAAGGGCAAGGGAACCAAGGATGGTGTTTAAATGAATCTCTTAGTTAATGCTTCCCATTAACAGTTTTCCCTTCTTTCCTTTAATAGGTAAAAGGAGTGTTTAACAATGTGTTTGTTATAGCAGTAAGGTCTCATTTAACAAGGCAGAGGTCTTGCTAAACGTTGGACAGTGACAGGATCACGTTAACATCTTTGACTCTTTAGTCCCATGTAATCCACCTAAGTTAATACAACAGACCACTGATTATTTTAATGTAGGCAAATGAGGCCAGGTCTATACTAGACCTGGAAGGTTGGCTTAAGGTATGCAACTCCAGCAACATAAATGATGTAGCTGGAGTCAACATATCTTAAACCAAGCTTAGTGCCATCTACACAGTGGGAGGCTGACGGGAGTAAATGCCAACCAGGGGTGCTCTCAGCATTTGATTTAGCGCGTCTTTACTAGACCTGCTAAATCGAATGCCAGAAGATCAGTCTCCAGCACTGCTAGTAGAGATGTGACCTTAGTCAGAAATTTTGGCCATTGGTGACCAAGAGCTGAAACCATCTGCATCTGTTTAAAAACATTCCCTGGAGATTGGATAGATTATGGGATTATTAAACTTTGGGAAGGAATACTTGAAGTGCAGGATAACCCAGGTGGTATATTGACACAATATGCCCAGGAAATTAGAGTGAGATTACACAGAATTCCTTTCTACCGATCTCATGTCAATACTTAATGGTTGCCTCGTTCCACAGTACAGGCAGTCCCCGGGTTACGTACAAGATAGGGACTGTAGGTTTGTTCTTAAATTGAATCTGTATGTAAGTCGGAACTGGCGTCAGCCGCTGCTGAAACTGATCAGTTTCAACAGCGGCTGAATCTGGACACCAGTTCTGACTTACATACGGATTCAACATAAGAAACCCAGGCATCCCCAAGTCAGCAGCTGCTGAAACTGATCAGCGGCTGATTCCAGGAAGCCCGGGGCAGAGCAAATCTGCCTCAGGCTTCCTGTAGTCAGCCACTGGTCAGTTTCAGCAGCGTCTGACTTGGGGACGCCCGGGGCAGAGCAG